GAGTGGGAGCTCCTGGCTGCAGGACCTTGTAGAGACCTTTCACATAGGCTGTGTTTGTTGACCTCTTGCATAGAAGATGAGCTCTGTTATTTTTCTAAACTCTTTTTGTAACTCAAATGGTGCTGTATTGTGGCGACAAAATAATTTTTACTGCATCTTTCCAGATATATGTGACAAATATTGAATTAATAGTCAGGATGTTGTGTGACTTTCAGCTGGTGGTTTATCCACTGCTGTTGTCATACCAAGTAATAGAGATCATCTGCTTGTATAAAGTGCTGTCAAATGAGTTTTGATGAATGACTGCAAACCATCTTATGTACAGTACACGCTGCTGCCTGCATTCATGGTGAAGAGAGTGAAATTGTAAGGGTGTCTACATACCAATAAAGCTTTTCCACAATTTGTACTGATTTCAGTTTTGTTAGGGCTCCTTGGATGCTACACTCTGTCAAATGCTCCCTTTTTATCAAAGCAATCACATCTCATCTCTTGAGTTCAGTTCTTTTGTCTATGTTTTGATCAAAACTATAATGTGGCCTTGGTAGAACCCAAACTGAGAGAGAGTAGGTGAGTCATTGCTATGTAACTGCTGCTTGGTAATACTGTCCCCTTCTGCAACTTTGCTAGTGATCAAGAGTACATTGTGGAGTTATATACTTGTCCATTTACTTCCTCTCTCCTTACTATCCGAGGCCCCAGACTCCTCTTCCAGGTGAAGCAGAATCTATCTACTGTACTTGCTGCTCACAATGTGGTCTCCTCTACATTGGGGAAATGGAGCCCAGGCTGCGTGATTGCTTTGCAGAACACTAAGTTCTGTCTGTAAAATTGACCCTGAGTTTCGAGTTGCCTGTCACTTGTCTCAGAGTTGCTGCAGTGCTCCAGTGAAGCTGGAAGAAAAGCGCCTCATTTTCCGCTTGGGAATTCTGTGTCCAGAAGAGTGAAATGTTGAGCTCAAACTCTGAAGTTGTTGAACACCTTCCCCCATGTCTTGCCCTCACCCCCCTCATGCCAGACCTCGTCATCATGTGGGTTGTTGCTGCACACAACTTGTTGTCAGCTACTAATAGTGCCCATTAGCAGCTATTGGTTCTCCCAGGCTGACCTTTACTTAGTCCTTTGTCCAACTGTTTTTCTTTCTTTGGGCTCAACCCCTGACTTATAGTTTACTCCTCCCCATCTTCTGCATAAGTACCAACCTTTTCCTGGACACTATCAGTTCTGAAGAAGGGTTACTGGACCTGAAACGTTAACTCTGCATTCTTTTCATATATGCTGCCAGACGTGCTGAGTTTTTTCCAGCAATTTCTGTTTTTGTTTGTGAGTAACTGGCCAGGTTGGATTTCTCCTGCTTTTTGTAGACAGAACATAGTTGGTAGGTGTCAGTGTTTATAGCTGCACTGGAACAGTTTGGTTGAGGATAAGGTTAGTTCTGGAATGATGTCCTGGTCTCCCCCATTATTAAACATGGAAATTATTGTAAAGCTGCCTCCCCTGATTAGTTGTTTAATTGCCCATTACCATTCACAACTGGATGTAGCAGCACAGTAGAGCCTAGATCTGATTGGTATGTAAATCTGAGCCTTTTCATGTAGCTTGGTGTCAAATTTTGTTAGTTATGTGAAATGCCTTGGTGTTTACTACATTAAGTACACTGAGTTAGCTTTAATGCTGTAAAGTCATTTTAAGATGCCAAGCAAAATATAGTTGATACTGTAAATTTGAAGTAAAAGGATACAGCAGGTCAGGTAACAACTATAAGAGTATTTCTTCAGATTATTCATCCAGGCCTTTGGATAACAAATTACTAATTACAGTATGTTAATATATCTAGTTGAAGTGACCAGTTAGAAAATATCATAAATGTTTCTTCCTTGCCGGTGACTAAGTTGAAGGAGTTCTATGAAATAACAAGGTGTAGAGCTGGATGAACGCAGCAGGCCAGGCAGCATCAGAGGAGCAGGAAAGCTGATGTTTCAGGTCTGGACCCTTCTGGAGGATTTATTATGAGGATCATGTATGAACATTTGGTTTGTAAGGTTCAAAGATTCTAAAGGATTCACTGTTTAAATTCTTGAAAGGCAGTTTGCTGATTATTCTCAGCTGTCTGGAAACTTGCAACAGCTCTCCCCACCATATTTCCACCACTGTTGTGTTGAAATTGAGCAACAACTTTAAGTATGTAAATCACTTTGCATTATAATTTGATACAAAATCTTTTTTACGGTGAAACTGAAATCCACTGATAATCCTGCATGCTGACTCTGTTTCCCTCATCGTGGAAGTCAAGAATATCATGGTCAGGTCTAGAAGTAACTATCCTTCCCCTATAAGTTGTTGAAGATCAAGGAAATAAGGAGATGATAGCAAAAATCATAAATCACTCATCGAATAAAATTCAAACTCATTCAATTTATAGCAAGCATATATAATTTAAACTTTCTATTCATCAATTCAATTCTACAGCTGTATAATGTGTTTTAGGCTTTCATACTTTTGGACTAAAAACTCAGTCTATTTAGAAGAGGCATAAAATCTTCAGTTAAAGATCTCCCAGATGGTCATTGAGGGAGATAAATGTGGCTGTCTTTGATATACATGTAGACGTTGTTCTTATGTTTGTAAATGTCATTGAATGAAAGCATTGTAGAAGGTTACCGAGGCAAACCAAACAATGTTACGGGAGCTGTTTGAGGAGAGAGATGTAGCGACTTCTTTGTGGTAAGTAGGGTTAGCAGTTAATGAGCAATTCCATGAAAGGCAGAGTGGAATAGAATGGTTAACAGAAAGCTTCAGAGAGATTGGAGAAGGATGCAAGCTCTATTCTTTGACTGGAACTACCTTAGTCCTGATCAGGAAATGTCTGGACTCTAAATGTATAGTTAGCTGGAGTTATCACAGAAGTGTTGTGGTTCAGAAGGTAGCCATCACCCATCATGTCTGCACTGGCTCTCAAAATGAGCATTATGATTTACTGCCATTTTCCTGTCTTTTACCTGTACCCTTGTTCATTGTTTCTATTCAGTAATGATTCATTGTCCCCTTGTGCCCTTTTAAATGCCTTAATTGAACCTGCTGACACCAAGCTTTCGCGACAGTACATTAGAGACCCAAACTACTCATTATAAGAAAAATACCTTTTCATACATTGTATTTGCTATGTTTGCAAGCACTTTAAATCTGTGTTATCTCAGTCTTGATCTTTTTACAAGTGGGAACAGTTTCTATCTTTGTCTTCTAAAACACCTGAAAAGAGTTTGGAAATATAGGACATGTAGATATTTAAGAAGTTGTGTAGGCGTTTTGAGAAATAGCAAAAATCTGAAGATATTGAGAAGCTGACTAAGACCTGATTTTGGTATGGATTGGAGAAAATAAGTTTAAAGGCTCTCAAAGGAAGGAAGAAAAACTGAATTGTCTAGCGCATGAGCAGAGAAATAGTGACAGGAAGGATGGAAACAATTTGGATATTGATGTCTGTGCATTCTTCCCATGGAATTTGAGTTGAGGATGGAGGGAATTATGAATATGATTGGGCAGAGGTGATTCATAGTAATGTAAAGGAATTGAATTGTTCCTATCCTCTAGGATGCTAGAGTAACAGGATTCAGCCAGGAATGTTGAGCAGGCTGAATGACTTAATTTCAAAGCATCATGAGAAGTGAGTAAGCAAACATTAAAGTCAAACTTGAAGGACCTGTGGCAGAATGGTAGTATCTGAGTAGATCCATAAAGCTTGGATTCAAGCCCAGATTGTCTCAGGTGTGTCGAAACCTGTCTGATCAGGTTGATTTTAAGAATATATAAAATCAGACCTGTTAGTTCAATGTAAATGTATCCTTTCTTTTGATTACTTTCAGTAAGTTTGGGAAGGGGGGAGTTATAAGGATAACGAACTCTAGATTCTGTGAATGGATTCAGTTCAGAATATGATGATTTTGGTGCCTTGAAGTGAGAGTTATAATCTTGTTTGTGGTGTTGTAGTAATAGCCCTATAACTGGGCTAGAATGTCTGGGTTCAGGCCCCACTTGCCTTGGAAATGTCATAACACGTCTGAACAAGTTGATTAAAATTGTAATCAAGATCAGACTTGTATGAGGGCTAGAAGGCCCAGGTTTAAGTCCCAGCTGCTCAATAGGGATGTGTCGTTTGAACAGGTTGATTAAGCTTCTCTATACCTGATTCACTAGTTAGCAACCATGTGCTGTCAAGTTGTTGATTCTCTAGGAATTTGTTAATGTAAAGCTGCTTAGTTTCTTGTGTGAGGATGCAGGAAATATATTTAATGTTTTAAATATAGAGGTTTCCTTATTTGGTGGGAGTTTAAGAACTATCCATTGATAATGATAATGGAGGACAAATTAAGACACGTCTTTAATCCAACATATAGTGTGGATTCAAAGAAAGAACATGCATTTCTATAGTGTTTTCACAGCCTTTTGATATCCAAAGTGCCCTTGAGCCACTTAAATACTTTGAAAGTGTACTCACTATTGTAAATGTATCAGCTAGTTCATGCAAAGCAATGATACTTGATGAATGAGTATTTGCAAGAATATCAGGGGAAACTCTGACAGAGCAGACTGGGCTATGATGTGTGCTCGTGCTCTCGTTCTTTTGCAGTATTAGGACTTGATTCAAGATGGAAACACTCTTTAGAATTTCAGTTGAACATTTTGATTTGAATATAGCCAGTGCTTCACTACTTTTTTGTTATTCATTAATGGGATGAGGACGTCGCTAACCAGGCAGCATTTATTGCCCATCCGTAATTGCCCAGAGGGCAGTTCAGAGTCAACCACATTGCTGTGGGAATGGAGTCACATGTAGGCCAGACCAGGTAAGCATGACCGTTTCCTTCCTTAAAGGCCATTAGTGAACCAGATGGTTTTTTTTTTTTCCTGACAATCAGCAATGGATTCACGATCATCATTAGACTCTTAATTCCAGATATTTTTATTGAATTCAATTCCTACCATCTGCCATGGTGGGATTCGAACCCGGGTCCCCAGAACATTACCTGGGTCTTTGGATTAAACAGTCCAGCGATAATACCATTAGGCCATCACCTCCCCTGTACTTATGTGGTCAGCTAGATCCTTTTGTTGATTCTTGCATAGCAGAGACCTGATGGAACTAGCAAGAAAGGTTACGTGGAAAGAACTGTAACAGTGACTTATTACAGCTCGCTACCTCTACTGAGATCTGAAATGGAGTGCCACTGATCAACAGGAGTGCAGACCTAACAATAATGTCAGTTTTGTCTTTGAAATCCTGAGAGATGTCATCCTGAAACCCTTAGGCTATTTGCCATTGTTCTTGCCAAAATGTTGAAGATATGAGTCCAGAAGCCCAGGATTGGGATGCTATGGTTGATCTTGAGGGTTCTCTGTTGGGGTAGATGGACGGTTCATGGTTGTTATTACGTGTGCTGGGAGGACCATTTTAAAAAAAAAATAGTAGTGAAGTTTAGGAAGGGAGTTCAGAAGTGTGGGGCATTGGTGGTTTAAGACATGACTTTTATTGGTGGGATAAAAGAATAATAGACAAGAGGCTACAATTAGAGGAAATTTAGAGCTGGAAGAGGTTGGAGATTGGGAAGGATGCCACTACAAAAAGATATAGACATAAAGAAAATTTTTAATTTGTGGTTTGGGAGCAGGAGGCATTATTGGTGAGCAGCCTTAGAGTTTGGTGGGGCCAGGATGTGAATAACAACACTTCGTATTAATTGAAGTTTACAAAGAATATTGGAATCCTCAAATCTGAGGAAGATAACTGCATGGGTTTAACAACCGAAGGATATTTTAGGGTGCAATTGACAACGTGCGGAAGTGGTGGTAGGTATTCTTTCGAATGCAGAAGATAGGGACAAAAAACTTAACTTGTGATAAATGACCGTGTTACATTTGTAAGTAATTTGGTTCATTTGAAATGGTGACCTTGGTGGCAATGATTTGCGGTTTATGTGCAGGCTAGACCCATTAGATTTAACTAAGGTTGTAGATGATGTTGTGGTGGAGGAATGGGAAGTTTAAGAAAGTGGGAGTCAAGGATAGAGAACAGCATTAAAATATAGGAGTAGAATTCGGCCATTAGGTCCATCCAGTCTGCTCTGCCATTCAGTGATGGCTGATTTGTTTCTCAATCCCATTCTCCTGCCTTTCCCCTGTAATCGTTGATCTGCTTACCAATCAAGAACCTAGCTATCTTTGTCTTAGGAGCAGATTTAGGCCATTTGAAGCATTGAGGAATAATGGAGTCAGTTCAGTGAGGTAGTAAATCAAAACCTTTCCGGAAGGTTCTTTGGTTTCACTTAGAGGAAATAAGTGTTGCTATGGAAATTAATGGCAAAAGAAATATTGTGAGCAATAGAGAGCCAAGTAGAGTTTCAAAATGCAGTTACAAGTGATGGTACAGAGTTCATTTCAGAGGGTGTCTAGGTGTGAATTTTTTTGTTTGCTGCCTCTTGGAACTGCTTTTCAAGTTAAAGGCGCTTTTTCTCCCCCCGTTGAATTTGTCTTCTCTCGTCTTTGGATTCCGCACTGTCTTTAGCATTCAGTACATTAAAAGAAAAATGCAATTTCAATACTTGCGGTGAACAGCAAAGAATTTAGTTTAATGAAATAGTTTTGTGTCTTCATACATGAAACTCCATTATTCCAAATTATTTGGGTGTGGAAAAGATAAATTTGGATTTTGTAGTCAAAGTCAATGATTTTATGAAAAATCATTAGACATTGTTGAGAAAATAAAAGCACTTAGATGGTGGATTAGCCAATCAGTAATGTACAACATTTTACTGGTAAGTCTCACTAAGTTTAATATAATACAAAGTAATTTCCATTTTGGAATTGATGCTGCCCTGCTTTGTAAACCGGAGTCAGGGTATGACCTGGAAGTGATAGTTCAGTGACAACAAGGTGTAGAGCTGGATGAACACAGTAGGCCAAGCAGCATCATAGGAGCAGGAAGGCTGACGTTTCGGGCCTAGACCCTTCATCAGAATATGTTCAGTACTACCTTAAATGGATACAAATTCGGTGTATGCAAAGTGTTTCGTGGGACATTTGGGTGATACTTCCTTGGCTACTTCCTAAAACATTCTTTTATTCTGAAATATTTAAAGATTATGATTCTGCTCTTCTTGTTCTCTTCTTTAGAGATTTAACTTTAATTGTGGTTCATAACTTTACAGCTAAGTGTATGCAGGTGAATACAGATTTCTCCCTTGGGGAAGGTCAGTAACAATTTCAACTGAACAAAGTAAATGATTTGTTTTGTCTGGCTTGTATCTGAACTGTGGCTACTTGTCTCACAGCTGCAGTTGAGGTGCAAATACACCTTAATTTATTTGTAGGACACTGAGAGCATGTTGCAGCACACCACTTACTATTGTATTAGCTTAATTTAGTTGATATTTGCTCTAGGCTGTAATATTAAAACAGCTTTTGCAGCTTTCACAAAGACCAAGTTGCTTCTTTATTTTATTATTTGTTCATTCACAGGATGAGTGTGTTGCTGGCTAAGCCACCTCCTAACTCCCCAATGCCTGTACACTCATTCACATGTGAGAAGTGTAATGCACTTGCTTGGATGGGTTAAACTCCAACAACATTCACTCAGGAAGCTTGACTTGATGCAGGGCAAAGCAGCACACTTAATTGGCCTCATACCCCTAAACATCCAGTCTCTTTTCCACTGATGTTCAGTAGCACCATTGTGCGCTATCTACAAAATGTGCTGCAGAAATTGACCAAAAATCCTTAGTCAGCACGTTGCAAATACATGACCATTACAGTCTAGAAAGACAAGATCGACAAATGCATAGGAATACCACTCCCTGCCAGCTCCTGTTCAAGCCATTCACCATCCTGATTTGGAAATATATTGTCATTCCTTTCATGTCACTGTGTCAGAATCCTGGAATTGCCCCCCTAATGGCATTGTGGGCCTACCTACAGCGCATGGACTGCAGCGGTTCAAGAAAGCAGCTTACTACCACCTTCTCGAGCGACTAGGAACTTTGTCTAATGTGCAGTCTTTTGCAAAGATTGATTTCTTCCGACACCTGTGTTACCATTTAAACTGTTGGCTGTCCATGCACTCCTTATTTCATGGACTTTTTTTTTGATATTGGTGAGCCTTCCCTTATCCAGTATTTGCAAATTTCAGAAACTGTAGAAAGCTACGCCAGTTCCTCCCTTTATAATTTCGAAGTATTCTGTCCTCCCGATCTTCAGTGTCTCTTTGTCAACTGTGAATTAACTTTAGGATCATGTACAAGTCTCCTCCTGGCTTTATCTGCTTTATTTGAAGAATCTCCACCAAGTCTCTTGACAATAGTACCGTGCAAATTTCCTCCTTTGGCTGATGTATAGTATTGAGGTAGACTTTCCAGCTAATTTACTTTGGTTCATGCTTCCTGTTATGTTGGGTTTTTTTAAAATTCATTTACTTTTGCCCTGATCATTACTTGTGCTTTATTTTGCTTGCACTTGTTAGTGGTAATATCTTGCTATTGTAGAGCAATCAAGGCACCTTTTAAATCCGATGTCTTACTCTGACTCATTTTTGTTTGGAATTAAATGATCTACCTTGTAAGAATTGAAAGAAAATAATGTTCTTATTTATATCATGTAATTTTCTTTTTCAGCTGTTTAAAATGAATCATTCATTGGAGAATTCAATTCCCTATGAGGAATATTTACGAATGAAAGCACGGACAATACCACAGCATCGCATGAAGGAATTTTTGGATTCCATGAATGGCAAAGGGTCTGAAGAAATCCAGCAATTCGTTCAAACCCCTGTTACAGTGTACCAGCAAAGAGGACACTATATCTACATGGACAGTGCTGATGTTGCTGGGTCATTGCTGGAGTTGTCTAGACCAATTAGTTCTCCAATTCAGCAACATGTGTCACAGGGATCACCACTAGGACAGCAGCAGATGCAATCTCACCATGTACAGGCACAACAAGTCCACCAGTTGGAAATTCAAACAGACCACCAGTCCTTGCAAGCGAAGCAAATGCAAGCCCAATTACAGTCGCAGACATCTTCTGAGGAGCCACAAACTGGTAGCCAAGCTGTCAACTCCATAGCGCAAGAAAGAAGGCCAAGCTCTTCGGGTGTTCCACAGCCTGTGAAGAAAAGGAAAGTTGATTTACCAACTGAAGAAAGCTATACCATGAGTCAGCCTTCAATACAAAATACCGTGACCACTGTGCTTACCCTGTCTTCTCAGGCCCAACAGCAAGGGTACATTCCCATTCGTCAGGAGCTGCTTACAGTGGACAGCAGTCAGTTATATGGTGTTGCTCCAGCTACCACTTCAGCTACAGGCCAGTTATCCAACACAGAATCATGGACTATATATACGACACCTGCACCTTGCTCGGAAGGCCAAACTGTACTCCAGTCTGCAATTCCTCATGACACTTGTAATTTAGTCCAAATTGATGAAATTCCAATGAGTATGACTGGGATCAAAATAGAAGATGACAAGGATAAGACTCAAGTACTGTCAGATGGTGGGAAAAACCTACAAGATAAAATGATCCAGCCATCTGTGACAGCTGCTTTTTCAACACAGTTCGTGAATGTGAATGGAAACCTTCATATTCCTGTTACAGTACAAGCTGGTGGGAGAGCCTTTCAGTCTCTGAAATACTGGGATCCACAACAATTACAGGTATTCCAAATTCAGTAACCTTTTATGCACGTGGTTAATATGGAAACTAATACATTGAAGTGTTCTTGAGTTGTTGGTTTAATTTCATTTACAAATGAGGGAACATCAGATTTTCATTCTCTGCATGTTACCAAAATGATATTTTTCATCAGAATATGACATGCTGCTGTTGTACATCAATGTGCTGATGCCTCAGTAAGACCAAGAGAATGATAATTTAAGACTTCGAATCTACTATGCATTTGTGCATAATGGGAACGGGGAAAATTTCCTCGGCTTACCAGACTTGATTTGTATTGGGTAGGATGTAACCAGCGATAGAAACATCTTCAACTATATTTAAGTTTCAAATGCAGTTCTTATTGGCATAGACTTGAAAAGCTCCAGGTATAGTTTTAGCACCCTGGGTGAACGACATACAAGTTAAAGTACTGAAATAATTTAAGAGCGTGGTTCGAGTCCTAATTGCCATTTATCTGGTACACCTGGCCAAATTGGTTTTGACTGCTCAGTATAAGAACAATGGAGCACTGTGCAAGATTTGACAACACAAAAAATTCACACTGTCTAGATCCTTTGATACAGCCATAAGAACTAATTTGATAAAGACATTAGATTACAAAGTTTACTCAGACCTGCTTTCTTGCATTTTGATGCCAAAAACTTTCACCTAAAAGGAAAGTAAGCTTTCTAAATATTGAACCACAAATTGCAGAGTCTTCACTTGTGTAGCAGTTGATGGTATTTGGGTCAAGCATACAGTTCTTGTCTGTGAAATTGGTTTAGTCCTTGGTGTGAAGCCAATTCACAATTGTTTTTCAGCCCTCGAGTGTTTTTACAATTTTGTTAGATGTTGGCATCTTTACTTCAAAATATTTTCCTTGAAACTCATAACCACCAAAATCTGTTTGAAGCTATTGGTTAACTCAATATCTCCAGTCTCTTGGAGCACTTTCCAGATTACTTTTTTGTGATGCAGAAATGTTTCCTGATTCACAATAGCTCTGCCAAAGCACTGGAACAAGAAATTGGTGATGCTGACATCATAATTCTGCGCTGACGCAGTACTGGAACTGGAAGTTGTATGCCCACTGGTGTTGTTTCTCCATCTCTACTCCCTTTGCCACTCCCCTCACTGCTTTGTCTCGCCCTTGTTGAAAAGCTGTAACAAACCTTCAGAAAACCACATTTTACGTGATTGAATCAGAATAAATTGCACTTCTTGTAAAATATTTTATTAAGCAGCACAGTTTTTGGAGGGCTGATAACATGTTCCATATAAATTTGTTTGAAGTTGAATGCTACAAGTGCATGAAATAATCTACAATTTTTAAATACCATAAGAAACAAGAACAAGAGTATGCCATTTGGTCACTTGAGACTGCTCTGCCATTCAAAAGGATTGTGGGTGATTTGACATTCCTCATGTCCACTTTCCTGCACTTTCCCCATAACCAGCTTGATTCCTCCATTGATCAAGAATCTGTCTATCTTAGCCATAAATTTACACAAGGACTCTGCTTCTCTGAGAGAAGAAATTCCTCCCCATCTTAGTCTTAAATTGGCACCCCTTTACCTTGAGGCTATACTGTCTGGTCTTGGACTTGCCCATGAGGGGGAACATCCTCTCAGTATTTAGCCTTCCAAACCCCTTAAGAATTCATTGTTTCAATTAGATCACTTGTCTGTTTAAACTTTGCACATAAGGCGGTTCTTCCAGACTGGGAATCATCTTTGTGAGCCTTCAATGAACTGCTTCCAATAAAATAATGCCTTTCCTTAAATGAGGTGACCAAAACTGCAAAGAGAATTGCAAGCACGTATAGTTTGATTATCTCAATGTCTTTATCTATGCAGTTCTTCAGAGTGGATAGCTTTGATGTTCTTATTCAAGTTGTTACAATCTGGTGGAATGCTGTGACATAACGCGCACTGCAACTGCATGTGTGGCGTTGGCAGCACGTACGCTCTTCCTGCTTTGACTCCCAAATGGATCAGACTTCATTTTGAAAGTATGCCCCTTTTTCTGGATTCCCCCTATTGGAGGAAATGCTCATTTTGTACCTGCTGTATAGAATTCTATTTCAAATGAAACATTTTCAATTTGATCAACCCTCAACCATCTAAACTCAAAAGAATACAAGCTGGTTTATGCAACTGTCACCATAATTGAATCTATTAAGCCTTAGTGTAATTTGATGAGCCTGCACTGTTCTGCATGGCAATTATATCTCTCCTAAGACTGAGCATAGTATTCCGAATGAGGCCCGAAAATCTGAAGTCTTAACTTCTCCTTTTTGCATTCTATCTCCCTTGAAATAAAGGCTGATATTCTGTTAGCCTTTCTAATCAGCTGTATTAGTGCAATAGGTTTTATTGATTCGCAATAACCATTTCCAATAACAGGTAATCTAAACGTTGTCCCTTGATGTTTAGTGATGTACCGTTATTGAATACCCCACATACTGGGGGCTATCATTGACCAGAAACTCAAATGGACACACCATATAATCACAGTAGCTACAAGATCAGATCAGAGGCTCGGAATACTGTGGCGAGTAACTTGCCTCTTGACTCCCCAAAGCCTGTCCACTATTTACAAGGCATGAGTCAGGAGTGTGATAGAATACAACCTGCTTTCCTGGATGGGTGCAGCTTCAACAACACTCAAGAAGCTTAACACTATCCAGGACAAAGCAGCCCTCTTGGCGTTACATCTGCAAACATTCACTCCCTCCATCAACGCTCAGTAGCAACAATGTGTACTATCTATGAGATGCTCTGTAGAAATTCACCGAAATCCTTAAACAGCATTCTCCAAACCCACAATCACTTGGTAGCAGATGTATGGGAGCACCACCACCAGCAAGTTCCCCTCCAAGCCACTCATCATCCTGACTTGGAGATATATCGGTGCTCTTTCACTGTCACTGGGTCAAAAGCCTGGAATTCCCTCCCTAAAGGTCAACCTTCAGCATGTGGACTGTAGCAGTTCAAGAAAGTAGCTCACCACCACCTTCTTTCTTAAGGGCAATTTGGAAGGGCAGTAAATGCTGGCCAGCCAGCGACCCCATAATGAACGTTTTTTTAAAAAAATTCATGGGACACCTAAACGCATCCACTCTACAGCTTCTAATCCCTCACCACTAAGGACCTAGCCCAGTTGGGCTTTCTCCTGTTCAAAGTCATCTTCTCCTTTTCAGATATCTATCTCTATCAATGGGCACAATTTCTCCCTAACTTTTCTATCTAGACCTCTTACGATCTTGAACAGCTCTTGCAAATCTCCCCTCGACCTTCCTTATGGAGATTTTGGCCCTCATCCCTTAGACAATTCTCTAATATTTCAAGCACCCTCTGAAGCTTTCATAAATTTCCAAATATATAGTATCCAGAATTTATACACCACTGATCTTGAGATTGAACACGTGTTTTGTGATGGTTCATCACACCTTTCATTGCACCTTTTTTTATTTATAAAACTCACACTTCTGATTGTCTTTTTAAATTCTTCTCTCTCTGCCCTGCCAATTCCAGTGATTTGTTTTTTTCATTTAAAACCCCTGGTCCTTTTGTTCCTGCACCTGTTTTAGAAATTTTGGCTGTTTTATAATGTCTCTTGTTATTCCTACTAAAACGTATCACTTCATAGTTCTCTGCATGAAGATTAGACTGCTATATGTTCACATTATGAAGCATGTATGTCCTCTTTAAGTTTATCACTGTCCTGTTCATATTTCACAATACTTCCAAGTCCAGCCATCTGTACATCTTGAAATTGTGCGTTGAAATGTGAACCATGTCCAGCTCATTCCTTAATATATCAAGAAAGCAGGGGTTCCGTTACAAAACATTTGGGGAACTCCACTGTATCCCTGAGATAACAAGGTGTAGAGCTGGATGAACACAGCAGGCCAAGCAGCATCAGAGGAGCAGGAAGGCTGACGTTTCGGGCCTAGACCCTTCTTCAGAAATG